GCTGCATGGATAAACTGCACCAGTAGAATTAAGCAGATTTGAGCTACTAGAAAAATAAGAATGGTATAAATACAGTAGAATTTGTTATATAGTGTACCTTGTGGATGTAATGGTTGTTTTCAGATACAAGCCCTGATTTTGCAAGATCAAGGGAGTTTTGCTTTTGACTTCAGTAAGCCAGAAGTCAAGCCCAGAGTGTTTTGTGTATTTCTGGGTGCACTGTGATGAGAGAGGCTAGTATTTACCTTCTCTGTACTTTAGGTAGGGGAAAATTGGTTGCAGATGTCTCACAGATGTGCAGGATACCTTTTTTCATTGGGAACTCATTGTAAATCTGTTGCTTATAATGTACTTGGTCCAATGGTTTTTAATTTAGAGAATGGTGGGAACATCTCTGCATATGACCCTCATATATTACCATACAAGAGGTGGCTTGGTTTGGGTTTGTGGTCTCTTGGGGAAGCTGTAGATTTATTGAAGGGCTGTGTTACCACAGGGACTTGGGGGAGTTTGATAATATATCTTTCAATGATTATCAAAGCTGTGAAGGAGAAATCGGTAAAAAATGGGAGCTAAAAAACTAAATAGGACCGTAATAAAAAAAAAAAAGCTATATTAGATTTATTTTCTTTCTTTTTCTATCAAAGTATTTGGTAAAGTTGAAGTTTAATTCTAAGAAATGGGAAAAAGGGAAAAATCTTAATTCAGACATATTTTTTTTTGGAGCACTAGTGAAATTAATGAAGTCTTTCCAAAGCAGAGATCAAATGTCCACTTTTAACAACTCATTTTACATTTCATTTCTCCTTTTTATAAAACTGCCACTGGCACAAAAATATATACATACATACATACATGAATGAAGAAACAAACAAACAAAATGAACACTGTTCATACACTGAAGGATAATGTTATTGAAGGCCATTAGAAAAAGAAGGGGGGAAATTTCAGTGAGTGGGCAGCTTGTGTAGACAGCAGAAGGCCGGGGCTAATGGGGCTTAGCTCCCACAAACGTGGGGCAGCAGGGGCTTAGCTCTTACAAACGCAGGGCAGCAGGCGCAGCGCAGAGGGCTCCAGGGCAGCCTGGCCACGGGTTCTGGGCGGCTGCAGCAGTGGATGCACACAGACATAGACACGCAGCTGCATCCTGCACACAGTAAGGATTGTAGCCCAGCGGTCTGTGGAGCACTTCCCACCACAGCAGGCAAGTCTGTAAAGGGGAAAGGGTGTGTGTGGGGGGCAGATCAAGGCCCCCACAATGAGGGAGGGAGTAGAGTAGAGGCAGGAGCAGGGGTAAATGGGTCCTGGGGTGGGTTGTGGGATGGTTGCAGCCTGGGCAGCTCATCCAGGGCTGCAGAGGGGCTCCTGCTGCTGCGGGCACCCCAGGGGAGGCACAGGGACATGTGCCACCCAGATTTGTTTGTGGGGTGGAGGTGGGCTGCCATTGTGGGCTGGGGATCTGCACCCTGCTGTACAGGCACATAGCATTGCATGGCTCCCAAGGCACAAATCTGTGCACACATCTGGGGGTCATGTGCCCCCTGTGTGTCCACTGCGGTGTGCACAGCAGCAGGAGCCCCTCCATGCCCCTGGACAAGCTGCCTGGGCTCTGACTGTCCCACAATGTGCCCTGGGGCCCCATCCACCCCAGCCCCTGCCCCACTTCCTCCCTCACTGTGCGGGCCTCAATCTGGCCCCCTATGCCACTTTCCTCTCCCCCCCACCCCACCCCTCCATAGGCTTACCTGCTGGGCATGGGGGTGTGTGTGTGTGTGTGTGTGTGTGTGTGTGTATGTGTATACACACACACACACACACAGTATATCACTAAGGTTTTATATATATCTTTGCCCCCCCCCCCCCCCCGTTGCCCCCCCCCCCCGCACACACCCAATAATATTTTCTTCCTCCACCTATGCCATTTCACAGCAATACAAAAAGGCCTGGAAAGTACTGTATTTACCTGAATTGAAGCCAAGATCCTTTTCTCCTTTTAACATGTGGAAAAGTGATTTTCATCTTGGATTCAAGTATCAGGAAGTGGATGGCAGGCAGCTGCTGTGGTTCCTGCCCCTGCCTCTACTTGGAATTGGGAACCCCCCATTTCTGATTTGCCTTTGCTTGTGCTATTACTTGTCTTAGTACACAGAGGCCTAAATTCTATTTTATCTTTGTGCACTTAAGTGACACTTAAATATTCTTCTAACTGCCATTTTTGGGCACTTTCACAATGTTTGGATTCCACAGAGGCAACTCATCCTGTGCTTCCACATTGAGCACTCAATTAATCCCCCTTGTCATCAAGCATTTTTCCCACTCTGACCTAGACAGAACAGAATTGCTGGAGAGTGCTCTGGGCAATGTATGGCCAGTGGCCTGGTGGTTAGAGTACTTTACTGGGAAGTGGAAGACAGATTCAAACCCTTTATGAGTGGCTGTGGTGGGGGATTGTTTTTCCTGTTCCCTAGGAAAATGGTCTAGCCACTAAGCTATTGGGCAAAAGATAAGAGAGGCTGCTACCAGTAGAAATACACAGAGTGATCTGCCACAGTGGAAGTTAAATCCAGATGGTGTTTAAGTGCCACAAACTGTAGCTGCATGGCTATATAAGTACTGCTAAAATACAGAAAGGTAAAACAGAATATGGCTCATAGTGTACTCCACTGGTCTGTAGCAGTTAAAGGCTGTGCACAGTAGTAAAGCAAAAGCCTCTAAACACATCAGGGAAACAGTGTGGTTGGATGAACTCAAGGAAGCTGGTGTCAAGTAGAGGGGGGCACATGACAGAAGGACAGAGGCAACTGTATAAGGCAAACTCGAGATAAAAGATCTGTGCCCTGCAGGTTATTTATTTATTTAATAAACAATGCCAGCAGTCTTCTCAACCATTTTAAAACAAGCCATGGAGACACTATTTAATATCATCCATAGACAAGTGCTCAAACCTGTTAAGCTGCAATCATTAGATGGAGGCTCCCTCATTCCTTTTGATCAATGTTTGTGCATGAGTGGAGGTGTGCCTGCATTTCAGTGGACAATTAAAACCTAACTCTTTTTTTTCCTTTTAAACATCAGCCAGACAGTAACAATTTCAGAGCAGCTTTTCATGCTGCACGGCAATTAGTTGCAACAATAAATATCCATTCTTCACAAATCTCAAGTTCAACATTTTCTTTTTAAAGGGCACAAGCGTGGTATGCACTCTTGTTGTGTCATTTCACAAAGGAAAATTTCAAAGATGTATTATAGCTAGACTGGGATTAAAAGAAACACTCCATCTTCCAGATTGCAAGTTATTTGCATCTGAATCCATTTTTTTTCTCTACATGTCTATACAGGTTTCCCTTGATTTATGCAGTAGATGTGTTCCCAGGGAATGGTGCATAAATTGAATTTGCAAAAAGCAAGCCTAGTTTACAATTAAACATATAGGGATGCATTCCCAGAATGGTGAGGGAGGGAGGGAGCAAGGCTGGGGCTAGGGAAGGGGCGGGGAGAGGGGTGCGGCACAACCCAGTGGTTGCAAGCAGGTGGTGTCTGCTGCTCCTGGGCCTGCAATAGAGGCTGCACTGGGCTCTTAGCAGTGCTCAGGGTGGGCAGCAGCCCCACTCACCCCACTGCTCCACTTCTCTCCAGTCACTGTAGCTCCTGCTACAGCAGCCCCGGGAGTGGTCAACACCAGCTGCCTGCAGCCACTGGGCTGCACTGTGCCCCAAACCCCACAGCACGGTGCAGCCTAGTAGCTGCAAGCAGGCAGCATGCACCGCTCCCAGAGCTGCAGCAGGGGCAGGCAGCAGCCTGCAGCAGGATGACAGCAGGCTGGGACTGGTGGCCTCTGCAGACTGGGGTCAGCAGCCGCACCAGGCTCTTCCCGGCGCTCGGCAGCAGTGCTGGGAGGACAGGTTGTGGGGAGCTATGGCGAATTTTGGGGTGGCAGCAACCCCCTCCCATCACCACAGACCACCCCGAGTGCTGGGAAGAGCCTGATGCCAACGCCGGCCCCAGCCTGCTCTTGTACCACTGCAGGTGGCTGCCCACCCCTGCTGCAGCTCTGGGAACAACAGACACCACCTGCTTGCAGCCACTGGGCTATGCTGCACTGGGGGGCTCGGGGCATGGTACCCCAGGGGAAGCTGAGCCCTGGGGGGTTTGGGGCATGGCACAGCCCAGCGGCTGCAAGCTGCTGGCATCAGCTGCTCCCAGAGCAGCTGCAGCAGAGGCTGTGGTGAGTGGGGCCCCAGCCCCATGGCCTTTTCCCCTCCCTTCCACTCATGGCCCTTTCCCCTCCCCTCACAAACTCATAGACTTACCTGCTTGGGGGAGGGAGGAGCGCACCTCTGCCAATTGCATAACAGCAAATTTACCTCACATATAACAAATTTTAATTATAAAAACAGCCATTGCATAAGAGCAAATTTGCATAAATTGAACTCACATAAGTCAAAGGAAACCTGTATATATACCTTGGCCCCCAGTTCCTGGAGTTTTTCCAGGTAGTATTAAAGTATGAAGAAAATAATTATCATATTTATTTTACTAGTAAGACTGTAGCCTACAACTTGTTTGTATACTACCAAACATAAGATTTCACACCCAGGAGGAAAAACATTCATAACAATATTTAAAAACTTTAATGTTTCCTGATCTGTAGCACCAATGTGTGACATTTTCTCTGAGAATTACTTTTTTTGTTACTCATTATTCATCATGGATCATTTTCTTGTTAAAAATTTTCCTTTGTTCAATCAGGAAGAATAAAGAAACAAAATTTGGCTGAAAAGACAAATGACAATTTAAATATTAAATACCAAGAAGTCAAAAAAGGATGACTTTTAAACAAACTGTAGAGGGGGAGAAACACTCAGTAAAACTATTTGGTAAGCAACCTTCAAAGAAAATTAGGATCAGTTTGTGCTGTGAGGTCAAAACGCTGTTGTAACCACGATGACTGGTTTGTGAACAATCAACTAATCAAAAAAAAAAGAGAGCTAATGTATTACCATTATCAGTGCTGCCAATCCTTGTGATATTATTTCAAGTTTCATGGTATTTGGTGGTTTTCCTAATACCCGGTTCCTGGAGTCCTTCAGTTTCTATAGCTTTCATTAAAACTCATACTCAGCTTTCATTACAAACAGTACATTTTCAGCCTTTATACTTGCAGAGAAAAACCTTGAAAAGATGGCCCTAAGTGTTCAAAAAATATAAGGAAATAAAATTAAAAACAAGAAACTTGAAATCTGGCTTAATCTCAGGAGTTCTAGCTTCACTTCATGATTTATTATTATTATTATTCTTCCTTGGGGTTGATAATACTGAATTATTCATTGTAGAAAGGAGAAACAGCTCTATTAATAGTTCTGCTTCACCATCAAAATGCTGCCAGTCACAGTAGCCTACAGACACTCTGGGCCAGATTCTCAACTAGTGTGAACTGCATAGCTCCATGTACCTCAAAGAAGCTATTCCGATTCATACTAGTTGAGAAGCTTAGCAGAATGATCCATAGTATTTATATAAAACACTTCCTACCACAAGATTGAAAGCCCTGGATGAACAAATCCCTCACAGACACCCAAAAGGGAGATGGTTCTAGGCCATCAGTTATTTGCTTCATTTTTCTACAACGTTTGAAAAAGTTTTACACCAGACACATGCCATGTCTGTTCAGTTCTGTCGCTTCATGACCTACAAACATCAAGGAATCCATCACAGTTCTATGGCCATGTAATATCTGTATGCAAGTCTACCTCTGAATAGAAAAGCCAACAGAACAAGCTACACTAGGCAGTAAGTATTAGGAAAAATCAAGCAGTTGAGGCTGCACATGTCTTTTTTAGTCATATGTGTTAGGGTGACAATAACTTGGATTAGTAGGGAGCACTGGATTTGCAGCTGAATAAAAAGGCATGACCTGTGGCCTAGCAATGCTGCTAACCACAAGGCAGAAATGATATAATAAAAATATATTGCAAGATGCTTAGGCAACCAGATTTTGCTTATGAATGCTTATGCTAAGCCAGCAATTTGCTTACTCTAAGTAACCATCTAAACTGTCAACCATTTTCTGAGGAAAAAGCAGTAAGTGAATCTGTGCGAGTCTGTGTGTTGTGAACCAGCTACAGTGAAGAATGAGATAAGAAACAGGAACCCAAAAAGGGTGGAAGATGGTAGAATCTGAGACAGAAAAACAGACCAGACTGTGGAAAACAACACGTACTTGGTAACAGTATCTGAGATGAACACATGCAAAAAGGTGAATGGTGATTGGTGAAGAAGCCTCCAGAAGGTTCCAGGTTTTGGTCAAAGTCCACCCACTGACTAAAGAGCAGGAGTCAAGGTCTTAGACATGCGCTCATAGCAAAAAGACACGTAAATGAATGAAATGCATAGGCAATTCCATGCTAATTAAGCAAACAGTAAACAGAGGCCAAGCTTGAGATAGGGGAGGAAATGGATGGAACAGAAGGCGGGACAAAAGTGAAGCAAATGTTAATGGGTATAAACCAAAGTGTATAAACGTAGGAAGAATCTACTGTTCAGGGCAGTTCCCCGTATTCTGTCGGTGAGGGAGCTGGTCTGAAGCTGTCTCCATTCCAAATAAAGCTGTGGTGAGCAATGTGTGCTGGTGTTTGCTTCCTACTCTGGCTAATGAGCAACAGGATCCACGAGTAATTGGACCATCGTCTCCCTAGTCGTTGGGTGCCTCATGGAGTTGGGGTCTAACAATACACATGTGCAATTCCCTTGTTGAATTAACCAAAAGGCTTTAAAGAATACAGCTAGCTTCATGCCAAACAGATTCAATAGCTGAATTCCCTTTGCAGCATTTTTTTAAAATTTATCATTAAAAATTATATATCACAATGGCCCACCATCCCTGAGCCTGATGATCCAAAATGTTACCACACTACAGAGTAGGAATATTTTTTAAAAATTGTAATTGTTAATTTATATAACAATATTATTAAAGCAAGAGTAACATTTTCAGAAGACAGCACTTACAGACCTAAAGGATTTAGGCACCTAAAGATCCAGGAAGGTGTTTGTTTAAAAGGCCAGGAAGCATCTAAGGTTACACCTACCCTGTTAAAGGGTGTGCCATCATGAGGCACTAGATCCTAAAAGAGATGTAATATTGCCCCCCTTAACATGCCGCTCAGCACGTGACAGTAAGTTCGCTTTCTCAGCAGTGTTTGTTGGCATAGCCTGGCACTAGACTAAAATAGCTGTAATACAGCTATTTCAGGACACCGTATATTTTGAGCAGGCCTGGCAAGGTTCACTGTGGTACTCTGGAGCACGGTTCTTTGAAAGGTATAGTTGTCTAACTGACAGTCAATGGGACCTAGCTATTGAGACTTCTGAGACTTTTCTAAACCTGACCAGCAACATATCTCCATCTTTAGCTGCCCAAACACCTTTGTAAATCTGGTCTTTCCTTAGGCAATTTTGCTTTTTTTTCCCCTGTCCAAAAGGAAGTCTGAAATCCTACCTGCTCTTCCCTCCCCCTGCTCCTCCTCATACTCTCTCCCACCTCAGAGCCCTGTCATTGTTAGTATCTTGGTTGTGAATTTTGCAAGAAGAAAACAAAGCTGCTTTTTGGTTAGTGGATTTATTTAAAGGGTTTATTTTGTTCTCCATAGATAAAAAGGGCAATTGGATTAGAAATGTGGTGGGAAAAAAAGAGCACAGTTACCCAGAAAATGCTGCAAACTGCAACCCTAAAGCTTTGCTCACTTCGACTTTTTGATTTTTTCTTTGGTTTTTCATTATTGGTTCTTGTTTGGTTTTTAGGCTTTTTTAAATAATCTTTTAGTTTTTCCAATGCCCATCCAAGATTGGGTTAGGCACTTTTCTACCAGGTTCTGTTCACAGAATTAAAAAGTCTCTACCTTGTAGAGACAGGACAAAAGGTGGGACAGAGGAAATCTCCTTTTTACAAATGAGTAAGTAAGGCTCTGAGGAAGTAAGCCTTGGGTAAGCCAGGATATCTATGACAGAATCATGACTTAGATCCAACTCTTCTGAACACCAGGCCAGTGTTTTAGCCACGAGAACACCCCTCCTCTTAAAATAGAAGTATTATAATTACTAGCTTTGAGAAAGCAATTCTCAAATATCACCAAAACTCTGCTTAGGCCTGCATGGGAGTACAGGCTCATACTCCTCACTCACGTGAACAGGCTACAAGGCTATGCACAAGGACTGAGAGAAGATCAATACCACATCTATGCAAAAGGATGCTTTTCTGGATCTCTTGAATTTTATATTGGTCAAGGTTCTTCTTGTTGCAGAAAATATTTTTTGGAACAAGAACCTAATGACAATTCTTTGGATAAAGCTCAAGAAGCTGTCATCCCCCCAGTGATCCTGTTTGCTACTATTTTTATTTGATAAGCAGATTCTTATATTCAGGTCTAGATTTGAGAAGTGATCTTCAGTGATTCATGGTTTTGAGGCGAGGGGCCCTCTTCATCAGGTTGGCTCTCACTAACATTTCTTTGGCAGGAGGACTGTAAATGTTTTCAATTAGGTGAAAAACAAAACCTCCAGAGAGCATGGCTTTAACCCAAATAAAACCTCTCCTGAATATCATTTTTTCTGCATCAGGAAAGTGGTTGAGACAGCTGCATCACACAGGTGGTACTCCAGGCAGTAAATTATACTGCTTTTATAGATGGCTTGAGACGCGTGGTCTCTGAACAATTAATTTTACCACTGCAGCTTTGACCTGAGAGCACTTTTTATCACTGCAGAAATTTCTTATCAAATTCTCATGTTCAGGTGCAATATAAACACTTCGGGGACAGACTCAGTACTCCTGGCAGGTACAATTGGGAATGAACTATAGAGGAGACAAGGGAACGGAGGCAGAGGCAAGAGACAAAGCAAAGTTCACCCGAGCTTAAAAAAAAGCCTCTCTCTAATGAGTTTAAGGGGCTCCCTTCTCACCCAAAACATGGACTAGGAAAATCTTGGGTTTTGCTTAATTGGTCACCGATGAAAAGAGCTTTACAGATCTGACACTATTGCACAGTTACAAGTGCAGCTGCGCTGATTGCTCAGATGACTTTACCAAGGAGAGAGAACAGTGCAGTCTACCAAGTTATACATCATCTTCCCTTGAACCCATCTAAGGAAAAAAAACCACAACAAACTTGCTAGTTATGGCCCTGATCCTCAATTGAGCTTTGTGTAAGTGAGGCCCTGGAACTTCTGTGACTTCACTGGGGATCTGCGTAGGCACAGCAGTCTGCCTGTACTGCATGCATTGCAAGAATAAGACTTAAAAACTGCTAAGATGGCAAACTGCTCTTTACCAGCTAGATTTCAGTCTCCGTTCTCAACTGAGGAAGCCCAAGGGGAAGAATCTAATGGGGGAAGCTTTGTTTAGTGTCTTTGTAACGGGGGCCTTCTTGGGGCTGATCTCGCTGTGGCCTGCCCACCTGTTTCTGGGGTAACCGTCCGCCTTCTCTCCTGCTATGCCTTGATGTTAATTGATTAATAGATATCAATTAAGCAGGAGGCTGCCCATTTTCTGCCCCGATGCCAGGGGGGCGCTATCTGTGGCTCCTTTCCTCCCCTACACCGCAGCCCAAGCCTCGCAGATGGCATCTAGATGTTATCATAATTACCGGCCCCCACTCTGGGCCCCAGAATCCTCCTAATTGAACCCCATCTGGATTCCCCTCATCAGGTGGTCTCATCCGTCTTCATACTGAGCAACCTAGCTCCCTGAACTGCTTCCCCTTCGGATGTGATCCCCCCACCGGAACTTTCGGCTCTCTAGCCCTGGCCCACCTCCAGGCCAGTCGGAACCCCAGGCCCTCAGCTCTTGGGCATTCCTCGTGGTGGACCCCCAGCCCTTCGACCCTTCCGGTCCTGGCCCCAGCATGGACCAGTCAGGGGAAGCTCAGACAGGAGTTGAGTCTATGGCCCTTTTTCTCTCTCCAAGGGTCCAACCTCTGGGCCCTCCAACAAAGGGGTAACCCACCCAGTTGTGGGGGCTAGGGGGTTAAGGCGCCCCAACCCACCTTTCACTGGGGTGGTAACTGGCCTGACATTTCCTGGGGGCTCCTGTACCACTGAGAGCCCCACCAGGCCACCCACTCCCAGCAGGATGCAGTTTTAGGTCATGCCCAGGACCAGGAGCCTCCTTACCACCCCGTACAGCTCCTCCCTTACCTCCAGATGATATCAGCAGCCCTCCAGGCAGGCAATGTTGTTGCCTGGCCTCCAGCATCAGAACTGCCCTGTTTATATGGGCAGCCCTGAATCTAAAATGGCTGCCCTCATCAGGCACCTGCCAGCTGCTGCTTTCTGACCCTTAAAGTGGCAGGCACAACCAGTGCCCTACCACAGTCTTGCACCTGGAAGCTGGAGAGAGAAAATGCTATAGATGTATTTAGTTCAAAACCCAGGAAAAAAATTACATAGTAAAGGGGCTGGGGAATACATGACCCCCTAATTTGTAAACCTTAACAATCTTTTAATATTCATTCTTTTTTAAGGGTATGAAT